TATTACTTGAATCTCTGACAAGTAAATCAAATTTCTTCAAGATAGTGTCATTGCGAACGCATGCCCAAATTTGAGGTAGAACGTTTTAGCAATAGGATACTTGACAACCATTCTATGCCCAAACCAGAACATAGAACAAACCCATACTTGCGAAAATATCTTTCATCCATAAAAAGTTTGAACATCGTAGCGTAAAACGTGATGAACACTCACGTGACCAGTATTGTGTGATGTATAATACACTGCAATAGCGAAACAATACCGGGTTCACTAGTAGTACGTGAAAGCAAGTTGCATGTGAATAGTGTTTGCAGCTATATGTAGTTCTTAATCACTATAAATCAATTTCTTATCGGCAGATTCAAAACACAGTGAAAATAGTAAATCGGAAAAGTGAAGAGACTTTAATAAGAACAGTCGGCATTAACAGCATTCAATGAAATTCGAATGTGAACTTCAAAATTTCGCCCAGGAAATGGAAAGTACACTACAACTTCACACATATTCCTGGATACGCATGCAGCGAGTCTGCTTAATCAAGTGGAAAAGTCCAGCGCGCATAACTTCCCGTGTTTGTTTACAAAAGACTTCCTACGCGGCTGTGGCGTAGCAGAGCGTCTGCGTGGGCAAGGAGAGCAAGTTCGAGGAGAGCGGAATCCAGAAGGCCACGGACAAATTCCGAACCGCACCTGAGCTGCTGTGGGCGGAAGAGTCGGGAAGTATGTTACTAGTGGTATAAATGTACATTTTCGAGCGCTAAAACGTGATTCATTGAAACGTATTGAATCATGTTCAATTTTGGAAGAATTTGAGAGAAAATAAATAGCTAATAATTTATTCGTCTCATAATATACAAGACATTCCCTATTCTTTCGCTATTTATGGCACAACGTTCGTATTATATTACCGCTGTACATTATCACTTTATGCATTTTCGGGTAACAATGCTTTAACTTATCTATTATGATGATTCTCCATTTCCAAATGTTTTCTACTGTAAATAAACTCAAAATGGTGAATTTTCAAAAAAGTTTAAACTACATTTTTTCAAAACAACAAACGGGTTTACGCGAAAATCCCTCTTTGCTTTTCTTTGATATTCCGAAACTCCCGTTTCAATTAAATCATCAGGAGTCTGAAACATTTTATTAATGTGAAAATGAACATGTTCCTGAGAGACTAAAGAACATGTTCAATATAAATATTACAGGAAAGAAAATCAAGCTATTAAGTTACATGATGATGTGAAATTAAGTTCGCCATTTTCAGCGAAATATTGATAAAACAGTTTATTAGTGGGTTTGAGGACGAAAGTTGTAAAGCAAAAGACGTTTCCAAGTGGCAAAAGGCGAAAGCTGTTGCAGAATGGCGTTGAGACAAAAACACTCAGCATTGCTAAGCACATTGGTCAAGTATACAATCAAAAGGTTACTTTTGCTTTTAAAATGAGTTTGGATGATACTAGAAAATAGACCTTGTGCGCTGTATGTCAAGCACTTTTATTAACAACCTACACACAATAGCTGAAATATATTGGTACAGAATAATTATATTTTTATATAACCGTTACCATGTTGTAGCTCATTAGCTTTAAAATTAAAAAAAAATCAACATACAACATTTAACATTACTGATTAATTTACTAAATATTCAGGAAGCATAACAATAATGATAGGTTTTGCTATCATTATTGCTATCACAATTCACAAGTATATTTAGACTTTTGAAGTACCATTCACGTGGAAACTCTTGCAATGTAACAACTAGAATCCTCAACATAAAGACAAAATGCAACACGCGGTAACGGAATATAAGTCCATGCCCAGTCATAGGATATGACGCATCATGCCAACTACTAATGCGACAAGCTTGGCTAACTTGGCGACACTGCGGAGCCTTCGTTAAGCCAAGCGACGTTAACTAACATTGCTCGAAACACAAGACGGAGATCCGTTTATGCAACATCACTTCAAGGGGGCCTTGGAAATGGAGAGATCCTGGGATTCGTGTCGAGAAAATAGCGGCAGGAACTGAAGAAGGTCAGCGCGGCCTCTTTTCGGAACTGCAAAGTGATTATCTAAGCTTCGCCGCGTAGGACCCCCAAAACACACAAACACGGAACTTCCAGCATGTTGGTCCCAATTTTTTTTCGACTACTTCAAAAATATGTTAAAACATACGCACCGCAGATGCACAAGAATCACTACTGTGAAGTAAAGGGCATTTCATGACTCAACAGATAAAATATATTCATTGTATTACGTTATACAATTGTTCAATATTTAATCATATCTATATTACGAACATTCTTCCCTGTTTATTCCATACGCGCGTAAATTCTACAGTATAACGCAAATACCTTAAAAATATTTGATTTGCAAATTAAAAAATTAACACTGATCTATTTCAATACACTAGTAAGATAATTAAAAATGTGAGAAAATACAGAACAATCTTAATATAACGCACTCACAATATGGAGTCGTATAACAAATAAGTGTTGTATAATTCGAATCAATCTCAAAAAGCGAATTGCATTAACGCGTTGTTGCTCGAAGAGAATTATCGTCCACGTTTATAGTACTAGTAACCAAGTACACAAAACTACCCACCTATATGATATGGATTAAAAAGTTCGCGTGCTACATAAGGTTTTCAATGTTTGTGTGCATTCCTTGAATGTGATTCTTAGAGATAGAATTCACCAACAAATAATTTAAATGATCTTAGAATAGTGAAATAGTGTCGCTTTGTTCAAAGAGAATGAATAATGCCACGCAAATTGGTAACTCCGCTTATCATCCCCCACTTCTTTCATAATTATATATTATCTTGAACAGAAATAAATATCAAGAACTTGTCAAGCATCTAAAACAATGTGTTCCCAGGTTTTGCGAGTTCAATGAGAATAGAAATCGAAATTTGGTTAAATCGACAATATTTTTTCCTTCCTGCAGGGATGTTATATTGGGCGTAAAAAAGTGTCGACTGGCGCGAAGAAAATTCATTCTGTGGGATTCCACATAACAGGCTGAATTTGTTCTTTCCCGGGAGGACTTTGAGCGATCCGGTGCTTTTTCCTTACATCAATATAACCTATATTTTCCCAAAAAGTAAACATGTGTTGATGTCTTCTGAAACATATGCCCTACATACAAGAGTTTTAGTTGTGAACTTTCATGAAAATGTGCAGCTAATATGAAAATATGTGACAGCCTGCTTCGTTATTTTTAATTAAAAAACATGAAAAGGTGCCCACCCTTTTCTAAAAATTGTGCAAAAGTCGATGTCTTAAGATAGGTAAGCTTTATGCACACGGATATTTAGTTTAAACGTCATGCGAAAGTGCAGCTATTATGTTAATACGAGTCACAGTGTCAGATCTCGCTTTTTTCACAGCTCACCGTTTTTCACCTCTCAGGCGACATTTCATCTCATTTAGGACGGATTTTCCCAGAGCGGATATGGCAACCCTGGCCAGGAGTTACGAGGAATGGTAATTTAATGTGACGATACTATTTACAAAGTCGCGTGAGAGAAAAAAGCGAGGCTAAAAATTTTGTGACATATGCCCACGACTTTCGTCTTGTGCTAATGCAGTTTGTTGCGCGAAGTCAATATTCGACTAAGAGGGGGTGAGTTTTTAAAGGAAGCGAAAGAACGCGTTTTTGTTAATTACGAAGACACCTACATTTATTGAGAGGATAATATGAAAAAATATGGTTCATTCAACGATTAACTCGATCGTGAAGAAGCTCCAGGATCTACGTGCAGGTCGAAGCGCGTAACGCAGTCGTTTGGCGCAGGTGCTGTGCGAGGGAGGGGTGCCGCATCCGGGAGGTGCGTGGGAATCCAATGAAATGCGATCCGAAAGCCATCTCCGTTAACAACCAACTCCAGGAAATACTGTTATACTACATAGGGCCTACTGCTCGCAACCGGCTACCTTCTTCAGGTAAAACGTGGGGAGTGTCTTAAGAAAAATGCATTCTTCAATAAAAATCGCCATAACAGATTAGGATTTAGTCGCTCCTACCATGATATCAGTTGTGCTACTCGGGTAATGTTCATCATGTCTCAGATATTTTTGTTTCAACCAGTTCTTTATTCTCCATTTGACGCATTTTCGATTTGTATAGTACTACGGTGTACGAATACATTTTTGTTATTCGGTGTGCATTACAAGCCATGATTTGCACTCGCCAAACGAAGACTCGAAATACCATTTATGAGGTTCAGTAAAAAAAGATAAGACTTTTTCAACCGACAACCTAAATAACTTTTATATCAATTGTTCAGTATCATTTTTTTTAAAATTCAACTAACGAAATAAAAAAGCACAGTTAGCGTTTGAAATTTTCCACAAATGTTTTAATCACATTACTACAATTCGCTCATTCAGCAACTGCTTCCTACCTAAAGAATGGTTATCTAGAATAATCTGTAACCATTGTTCGAGATCTTTTATCATGAAATATCTTTCCTTCATAACAAGAGTTTGGTCATTGTCTTTGGAGCAGTGAATGGAATCGGCAAGCTCGAGCAGATTCAGCGTAATATATTTCGCTGTCAACACTGAAGTATGATAGTAATCTGAATGATGGTGCTGCGTTGAAAAACTAAACAAGCAACACTTTCCCAACAAGAAGATGACTAATAGGTACAAGATATCCAACAATACATTTAGATACGAAAACAACAACATCGAAAAAAAAAAAAACTGCACAGGCAAGTGCCACTGCGAAGTTGGACAAGTGCAATTGAAATAAGAATCACAAGTATTTTTATCTGTCCGATTTTTATCCTCTGGTAGAAGATAAGATCGTATGTATTGAGTGCTTCTGGACAAGAAATGTTTCTTAGAAGAAGCACATCTTGACTTAGTTTAAAAATAAAACGGATTTCATTTGATTAGTTCTACACCAATCTTTCTCGCGATAAAACCGAACAATTAATCTTACAAAGTAAGGAAATGATTGTAATGGGACTTCGCTACTCACCTTGAGCTGACTGCTGCTGATGTAACTGCGCTGCCGCTCTCTGCAATAAAAGAAAGGCCATATGAAAATGTGTATTACGACCACTCGCAGAGACGACGGGACACTCTGGTAAAAAATAAAAAAAAACGGTTTAACTTAAAATGCGATGAACTGTCTTGTGTGTCTCACTTTTACTATACTACACTATTACAGCTTCGTCATCTTAATCGACCAACTTTTCGACGTTAGACGACCAATGACAATCTTCAGGTACAATGACAAAATAAGTTTTCGTTGTCTAAAGCTATATGTTGTCTTCGTCATTGAAGACTTCTGTTGTCAGTGTACAGCACTCTTTGTTTAAGTAAGAAATTACAGTATTCTATATCAAAAATACGAAAAAGAACATTAAGGTTTTCGCTAATGGCGACGAGAATTCTATGATGGTCAGAGGTCTACGAAACCACCACCACCAACCTACAACCAGAGTGGTAGAGCAATACGAGCAACCCTTAGAAGCTAAAGGAAGCTTCACAATCTTACTTTCTGAATTACGAATTATATACATTTCTCGATGAAATAAATAATCTAAATTTTGTATGTAATTATTCGAGTAAAATGGATTGCACCTCGTTAGTTAGGAAACGATTTGACTTCAGAACTCGCTTACTTATTTTGCCAAAAATAAATCATGGGGCCTAAATCATCATTGGATACCACCTTCTCCAAGAGTCATTATGCAGTTCAGAAAAATGCTCCACCTCTAGAAATCATAATAATGATTTCCCAATTAAAAATTAAAGAGATATTGAATGAAGACGTGATTTGGTCATATACAGCAGAAGGGGAAAGATGCGCCTTCGAGGTTGGGGCAGGGCAGTGTCTAAAAGCGGCGCCGCCCGAGGCAGGCACCGCGCAACGTGATGTGTACGTGCGCCCAGCAGCGCAGCGCCGCTCTTCCAGGAACTGCCGGACGCGGAAATGGGGCGAGTTGGCGGCCTTGCCAGATTGGCCTGCAACCCGCTCCGGGAACTGCAGTAGCAGCCAGCGGTAGCGGTGAAGCTGCAGTTTGTCCCACCGCCTGAACGTCGCATTTCGCATTTTAAAAAAAAGAAACGAAGATAAAAAGGAGAAAATAAAGAACGACCCTCAAAGACAGAAACGAGAAAGAAAAGATAATACAGAAACGAGAGAGAAAACAGAAACGAAACGAGAGAGAAAACAGAAACGAAACGAGAGACAAAACAGAAACGAAACGAGAGACAAAACAGAAACGAAACGAGAGACAAAACAGAAACGAGAGACAAAACAGAAACGAGAGAGAAAACAGAAACGAGAGAGAAAACAGAAACGAGAGAGAAAACAAACACAGAAAGCAACAGAGGCGGGAAGGACAAACTAGTTAAAGGTTACAGCTAATTGAGGACTGAGGGCCTTTTTTAACACTGCTCCTAAAAATGCAGCGCCCCCTCCCCCGTCGCCCCGTAAGCACGTACGCTGACAGCAACAACGAGCAGATAGATCTGCAGGAGGCAGCAGCCACGAGATGGGATCATCGGACTGGTTAGGTCAGAGCAGACAAGAGGCAACGCGGGGACAAAGGGGTGATCGCGAGAGCAGGTGCTGCCTCATCTCGACCGCCTCGTGAACCACTTGCTGCCGCTCAGAGGCGACCCGGGCGCACAGATGGCGGGCTCAGGGAGCGAAGTTTCTGCGCGGTAGTTTCAAGATGTGCTCGCAAAGATAGCAAACTTCTGTCTTATTCACTAGGTGGGCGTACAATGGATAAAGTTATGATTAAATTCGAAATGTACGACTACTTTCAAGGTACGAATTCAAAATTGAAACAAAAAATTATCCCATAGACGTTAATAATACACATAGTTCATATTAACATGTTTAAATATCTTTACTTATAACTTTTTTTAATTAACTTCCTAGTGCAAAAATCATTAGAACGAATGAAAACTAAACGTACTAGATATTTAATCGCTTTTAAGAGAAAAATACAAAACGTTTAATATTTTCGACGTTAAGAACAGTACTTAATACATCTTGCATTCAAAGTACTACAGGAATGTTGTTGTCGTTTCCGACATTCAATATTTACAGAAATCGTATTACGAAGTTTTATCACTTAAGATGTGTCTGCTAAGAGGAAAATATTGGTCAACATTCACGGAGAACCTTTTATATACGAACGTTCCAGGCAACAGCCGGGTCTGTTCCGCATTACGGCTTAGTAAGATATGACCGTCCGTCGGACAGGGTGTGACCTTGTAGTGAGCATGTTCCAGTCGCGTACCAGATGCTTATCCATGCCAAACGTCTCGCCTGTTGGGGCGGTTTTCCGCGTAGGCCCTGTCCCCCCCCCCCGGGGGTCAGTGGGCGTGGCGCAAGAGCGTCGTGGACGGCGTCGAATCGCAGTCCGGTCGCGGTTCAGCGACCTCTTCTATCCCTCCCCCTCCCCCCACCCTCTTTGGGCTCTTCGCCGCTGCCGCCGCGCGCGACGCCACGGTCCGCCTGCGCGCACCATAGACCCACAGTGACCTGCGACGCGGCGATTCACGTCCCCCGATCCCCCGCGACGACGGGTCCCTCCCACTGCGTTATGAGAAAAGCGCCAGCGGCCTTCTCCTCGCCCTGACGCGCGGGGTGGACGACATCCGCTCGGAAGGGCGCGAAAAATTGCGGGCGGCCGCGTCCCGTCCAAGTAGCTACGTCAGACAAAGAACTCGCATTAAGAGAACGAAATTGGTTTCAACGATCAAACATTGCAAGATTATACCGGATACATGAGCTGCTGGCCAAGGTAGCCAAAACACGTTCTGAATGCACACTGCTCAAGAAGATAAACAACAAATAAAATGCTATCGGATAACACTGCAATAAATATATTAACAAAAACGGTCTTCACGAATGACATATTGCAGTAGAAATGGATACGGCTCAACTGCTTTTTACGTATCACGAATATCAAAAACGTTGCTCTTTTATAACACAACATGCGAATATCAAATATTTAATGGCGGACTTTGGATCCTTGCTTTTGTCTAACGTCTGCTATGATGTTCGAGTATGCAGTGACGTACTGATATTTCAGTCGGAACGAGCAGTATGAAATTTGTCGAGAAAAAAAGAAAAAAGACAATCAAATAGTTTCATTTTATTTGACGTTCCCCGAGTTCTGGGTTCTTAATGAAACCGCAGACCCCTCTCTCAAGGCCAAAGCTGCATAGTTTTCTTTCAATTTCTGCGCGCATTGAGAAATTGTAATGTAGATGGCGAATCCTCTAGAAGTATTCGAATCCGTTCCCTATCGTCCTCCAATACTCTTCAACCAAATAACATTTTCCTATCATACATCTTTGGCTTATGACTCTGCCAAATGTTTAGAATGATAATCCTAGAATGCACTGAATGACAACTTTAATAATCAATAACCAAGGTAAAATCAGCTCAACGCACAGAATCCGGAGGGACATAATCCAAAAAGTGACGAAGGTTAGATATTCAGACTCTACTGGTACATGTAGATCACTTATTTGTTTCAAGATAACATAATAAGTATTGCAAAATCCTTAATCTAATATCTTTTTACGTTGATGGTGAATTTGGGTTTCTTCTCTCATTAGAGCCTTCCATATTATTTAAAGCACATTTCAAAGTCTTCCCAACAACTGAAGTTAATGTAACTTAAATCGGTAAATTGTAGGATATTTACACAACAAACGTTTCTAAACAAATTTATAATACAAAAGCCTATTGAAATTCTGTGAGGCAGAACCGGATTTACTATAGTGCGGGTCCCTGGGCAAAAATTTGGTGTGTGTGTGTGGGGGGGGGGGAGACTTTGGCTACGTAATCTCAAAAAAAGCCTTCAAACAATTTATATTTATTAATTTTCAGTAACCGTGTAATACATCCATTTAACTATAGGAATTGGGCAAGATAATATGAACACTATGCTGTATAATACATCATTTTATCAGTAGGCGCCACTGTAAATGTGGTGTGTGTCATGTGTGTTGTCGGGCCACGTTTTGAAGGCCATATTGCACTATATTACAGGCTTTTGTCTGCGACGGTGTACACAAGCGATCGGTGAAATATGTGATCTTTGATAGCTGATCTGTTTGAAGTTTCACGAGCAAGAGGGTTCACAGAAATGAACAATACAAAAAACATGGCAAAACATCATCAGCGATGAGGAATAGTGGGCGAAAGCCGAAGTTAACTGACAGAGGCAGACGAAATAGAATTGTGGCCAGACTACGTAAAGCTATCGCGGCAAAAGTTACAGCAAAACTCAATACTTTCTTCAATAATGTTTTCAAAATACCAGTAGGGCGAGAATTTCACAAAACTAACATTCATGGAGAAACTGCAATTGCGAAACCTTCATAACGGCAGCCAACGCAAAGCTGCGACAGGAATGGTGCCACAACCCTGGACACTTCATGATTGTAAGAATGTTGTATGGTCCGATGAATCATCAATTACATTGTTTCCTACAAATGGCTAGGTTTATGTAATGAGAACCCCAAAAGAAGCCTACGATCCTGCTTCCTAGTGAAGCACGGGAGAGGTTCCGTTATGATTTGAGCGCCATTATTTTCAAAACTGAAAATGGTTAAAAACAGATTTCGACAACATTGTCTCAACATCACAACGAAAGATCTCCCAGTTTAAGCAACAATAACGATACTCTGAGAGAAATAAGTTTTGAAGGTGTGATTGACAGTTTTGCAGCTGGAAAGTGACGAAACTGCCTCTTTATCATAGAGGAGTTGGACAAAATAATATGAACACCTATACAAAATATGCATTTATTATAAAGGTGTTGGACCACCACTTGCTTTTAGAATAGCTGCAACTAGTCACGGAATTGGCGGTGCCACTAGTGCCAATAGCTGCAACTAGTCACGGTCGTGCCATTATCGTGGTGATCAGCTGGTCCTATAACTGCTCGGATTACTGCGAATGAATTTCTCGACATACGCAACCATGAAGTGCTTACAATGAATAGCACACTATTCCCAAACACTGCCACAATACAAGTTGATAATGCTACCACACACACACAGAGCAAAAAATTCAGGCGTGGTGGGAGGAATATTAGAAAATCATCAAATCCTTCCCTCGCCAGCACAATCACCAGACCACAACATAATTAACAAGTTATGTTTTTTTGGAGCACAGAGCGAGGAGATTTCCAGCTCCAACATCGCTGAGGCAATTGGTAGATATTTTGGTACAAGGATGGGAGAACATTCCATTGGAAACTATTGAGACACTACAAATCTATTCCGTGACTAGTTGCAGCTATTCTAAAAGCAAGTGGTGGTCCAACACCTTTATAATAAATGCATATTTTGTATAGGTGTTCATATTATTTTGTCCAACTCCTCTATGATAAAGAGGCAGTTTCGTCACTTTCCAGCTGCAAAACTGTCAATCACACCCTCAAAACTTATTTCTCTCAGAGTATCGTTATTGTTGCTTAAACTGGGAGATCTTTCCTTGTGATGTTGAGACAATGTTGTCAAAATCTGTTTTTAACCATTTTCAGTTTTGAAAACCATCTTTCAGGAGTGCAATTAGTTACCATCAAAATAAGGTAAAATTTTAAAATGATTTCCATATTAGGAAAGCGCCTGATCTTTTTGTGTTGTTTAAGTATATACACAGTATATCCATTAGGTTTTTGTCGAGTTTCATGGATTCAATGAGCAATCGCTGAGATAGCCCCTTGTTTTGCTTCTGGACTAAATGTAGCTTCACTACGCGCACGTTTTGTTGAACTCTCATTTTGCTTGTTGTAATGGCAAGAGTAGAGGTTAGGACGAGTTGCTATTTTGTTAGTAATGCAGAAAATAAAATCTACTGTTCGTTTGTCGTTGCAAAGAGGTTTTCTATAACTCTGGTACGAAAATGTGTAGTTTTTCAAATGTTTCTAATCTCGCGCTTTTCTAAATTTTATTTTTATTTATTTATTTATCTTTAACGTTTATTCATCATTCCACTATTTATAGTTAAAATGATGGGAAGGGATTCTGGAACTGAAGAAAACGTGCGCAGATCTTTTCCCCCATACGTCACATAGTTTATACTGTTTTTTTGACTAAATTAATCTAAGGTACATATGAATGGTTGTAAACCAGAACGGTATGAGTGACTTTTTATAAATTCTGAGGAATCTGCTTATGCCAATATCTCTATAAAGTCGTGGTGTTTTGTTTCAACATTAAAAGCAGGCCATTTCAATTCTTCATTAAAACCACATTGCTACTGAAACAAAGCCTAAAATAAACACGTTTTTATCATAATTTATAAAATATCACTTATACCAATTTGGTTTCCACCCATTCATATAATGTTCTTGGCCGAAATATTAATTTTCTCCTGAAAATCGTTCGTATAATTCGCGTATTTAAGCTCAATCCCAGAGTTTGGTTGACATAGTTCATGTAATTTTGAGTGAACAGTTTTGCTTGTTCAATCATTTCTTCTGATTCAAAATGATTCAATCTAGCCAACAAACCAGAACGCATTGAGACCAATTCGAACGCCGAAATCTATTAACCCAATGATGTTATGAACTGATCCATGATAGAGAAGTAATTTTAGATGTAAAGTCTTTGAGACGGTCACAGGTCACGGTCTAGTGAAGATTTTGAAAATAATTTTGACACTGAATCTACATAAAAATATTCCACATATTTAATTATAAATAAGATATATCAAATTAAATAACGGTGTATTACGTAGTCTTGCGAGACAATGTCATAGAAAATAACAGGCTTCAAGCTAAATGCAAGCGTAAATGAAATAAATTAAAATAAAATAAAAGTATCATAATTTTGTAATTTAACAAATACAATTAAAAACGTGAATACACATGTGGTATTTAAATGACAAAATAATATACGAACTTCATTTACAATGTATGACTTCAATAATTCCCCTCCCTTGTTTTGTATTTAATGGGAGGCCACTGGGCTGCCGCCCACCTTGCCCACCCTACTCTGGGGTATAGTTGAATACAGCACACTAAATGCAGTGTAGTGCCATTTGTGCACGAAGATCGACTGTATGCTGCTGTTGCAACCGCAGTAATATCAGAACTAGTAAACACTTCCGCACGATGTGATGGCAGAACCTGAGAGAAGTCGTGTATTACGAGTAAACGTTATGCTTCCAAGAAAATCGCAGCAAGTTTCTAATGAAGTTGCATTTCCTGTTCTTGAGAGTATTTCAACATATTACGTTGAAGATAAGCTGCACGAACTTTTATCTTTCACATTGTTACGTTCGCACGATCATTTGTGCAATAATTGTAATTTTTCATCAAGGACTTGGAAAGAGCGAGGATGTTGTGGATGTGGATTTAGTTTGAGGTGGAATAGCAAAGCATTTAATGTATCGAGGTACTTTTTTAACTTTAACTTTTATATATTAAAGAAACGTTTGTGATATTTTTGTTAGAAGTCAGTTCCTTTGACTTTCACACTACTGCTTTGTATTAGTGAGAAACTTATGGAATGCTGCGCGAAACTAGCGATACTAAAGCAGCACTTACTTTCTTATCCGTATTTTTACGCAGAATTGCGCGAAAAATTGTACACGACCTTATTTCAAAATATATCATTAAGAACAGATTTCGGGGAAAATCTCTATCTTTTATATTTCAATTGTAGGAAAATCCCTAAAAAATTTCGAACTTTTGCAACTTTCGAAAAAATCAGGGTTTTAACGAACATCAGAACTGCGCCATTCTCTTAAACGTCCAACAAAATTTAATCAAAAACTAGGGGTTTTTTTGAAAATGACTCGGGGGCTTCAGATTATGCAAAATAATCTTTAAAAAAAATCTCAAATTCAAGGTGTCGCGACATCAGGCTGATTGATTGGGGAAAATCGACTGAATAGTTTAGCCACTAGCGTTGTTCATAGACGCATACACTCGCGCGGGGAAAAAAATCTAAGGAAATGATAAAGACGAATGTATTGCTAACAGTAGAAGAAAGAAAGAAAGCAATAAATAAAGAAAAAAGAAAGAAAGAAAGAAAGAAACAAACAAACAAAAGGTAAAAACGAATTCTGGCGTGTACGTGAAAATGATTTACTCATGTTAAGAAATTGACTGGATATTTCATAGACTCCTTCAGTTGACTGCACATACATAGTGATACATCAATTCTATAGATTAACTCTATTTTTTGAAGAGGTTGTTTTCAGTAGTTATTACAGTGTTTAAAAAAAGTACGTGCGTATCATCGAAAGAAAAAAGTTCATTGATTATTTCACGATACGCTACCTAGAACCTCTGAAGAGCGTCTGCCTCTTAGGGCGCTTTCCGTCAGTGGAGACGCGGGCAAGGTGAGGGGGGGGGTCCTCTTTGATTGTGCACCCACCATAAAGGCAACCTTCGTAAGGTTACTTAATTTGAAACTTTACCGCGTATCAATCGCAACACATGGAAAGATATGTGAACACTGATTTTTATACAATTCCAAGACAATTTTGTTTCATCATTTCAGTAAACGTTCTGCGCGTGTTCCTGCTTTCTGCAGAAGCCTGGTCGCGGCCAGAGAGATTCACAGCGCCTTCCGCCACTGAGCCAGCGGCGCGGCGCGTGGGCGGCAGCTGCGCGGGCGATAACGCGCGCGCCGAGAGCAGACGCAGAAGGCGCCCAGCCGCGAACGACTCGCTCTGAACAGGCGTGACACACACACACACACACACACACACACACACACACACACACACACACACACACACACAGCACCGCCTAACGCCCCTCTGCGGGCAGGCGGGCAGCTTCGTCGTAAACGGCCCACGCAAAACCCGCGAAGATCATCGTGACCCACATCACAGGCCGTGAAGAAATTTATCCACCTCACGATGATGTGCATTACGTGCAATGTACTGAATTACGTTGTGACAAAACGGCATTTGTTACTAAAATCATAGTAATGTAATGTATACAACCGTAGCAGTACGGTTACCATACCACTATAATCGGTTAAACTCTTGCATAGACGTGTCCCTGCAACATGCAACACTCCCTTCAAGCTCAGAAATGAAAAGCAATTTAGAGGTAGACGGGAGGGCAAGCAGGAGAAAACTGTAAAGCCAGACTAGGAGAGCGATAATAAAAAATAAAAATAAATCATGTTACGAACATCGATTGAACACATAAATAATGCCATCATTTACATCAAGGCTTGCAATTACGTCATTTCGAACTTCTACTCTGAAAGACACAGTTTTACTAGTGTTTTAGTGAAAGTTCTATTTTAAAACCTTGCATACAGCAACCGGTTGACGTTTACTGATCAATATTGTAACGAAATTTTCCCTTCGTAGTTTCGATCAGTCACTTCAAGTTGGAATAAATAAGGACACCATGCATTTAAAAGCACATAATTCTGACCAAAAATATGAGGACAGAAAACAAGAAAGAAAGAGACGACGAGAAAAGTTCTTGAAACTCGAATACAAAGTGCGAGTCATTTCAGATGGTAAAAAAACCCACCTCGCTTATATGATGTTTTACAGATTATTTTGTCAACAAACTCTTCGATACTACCAGAATGTCTTGAATATTTCTCTTCTTCTATCGTCTAGAAGGTTTGGCTTACTGGGAATCAAATCTCTGAAGATACTTTTAAGTACTGCCAAACAAAATCTTTTGCAGATACAAACGCAGAAAATCGTAAATTTGTGAATGGACAGAATCCGGGGTGCATGTTACGACAGCCCTGTATCGCGCCCAAAATTAGGCCGTCAGAACCTAAGCCTGCCAGCGGATCGTCAGTATTGCAGTTCTCTCGCCTCCGCAATGACATCAAGAGTCTACACCGGCGCTTTAAGGCATGTAGAATCACAACAACAACAACAACAACAACAACAACAACAACAACAAAACACTTTCTATGAAAATTTATGCTCTGATGCTCAAATGGCAAAGGGATTATTTATTGCTTATACAATGGGAAACAGATAGTTGTGTGTTTTGAAACCTGAAACAACTCTTGTATTTCTGTATTTCTAGAACCCTCTCATGTGTTCTAATATCTTACGCATATAGGTAGAGACAAACTGCCAGGTATCCAAGAACCGTACTTCGAAATGTGTAAATGCTCTGTGCGAAATAAAATGTTGGGTCATAAATAAAATGATTCCAATATACGCAATGTAATATTTTGAATAAAAAGCCAGTTTGCTTGACCATTTTAATTTGGATCCCAACAAATTTCAAAAAGGTTTCCGTGCACCCCCCCCCCCAGGCAAAGGCACAGAATGGGAGGAGAGATGGCGCTGCCGCGGCCGTAATAGTCGTGTCGTGTCACGTCACGTCACGTCACGTCACGTCACGTCACGTCACGTCACGTCACGCTGCGCTGCGCTGCGCCGCGCTGCGCCGCGCCGCGCCGCGCCGCGACGCACCGCCGGGAAGTGCGTTAACGAAGAGCAATTGTCCGAGTTGCCCACTCGCGGTGAAAGAACTCCGCGCAGGCCAAAGGGCAGAGGCGAGCCCCCGGCACGCCGCCACACCGGTCACAAACAGGCGCAGGCTGCACTCGCTCCACACAAATGGGATCACTGCTCACAAAGGGCGGTCTTAGTGAACAACAGATGATACGAACGACTTGTAGATGCAGTATTTGAAAACGTACGATTGTGCTTCGCCGATATTTAATTGCAATTCGTCAAATTATCATACTAAAATTTATTTAATTTGAAAAATACGTCTTTGCACTTAGAACAAAAATGGGACAGCTTCTCTATTTTAAAAATAGTAAAATAATCAGAAAAAAACATTTGAACAACAGTACTTTGCACAATGCATATTGTTTTTGTTTACAATCAAAATGCATGGCATTAGTCGGATCTGAAACTGATATGGTCATATTTTTGAAACAATAATGGACTTGATCGGCAGTGATACTATGTTTGAAGTTTGGTTTCGAAACTAAAAACCTGCGAAGTTCACCCCGTTAAACTGTTAATCTGCTGGTCAACTAAATGGAAACTATAACCCTCTATTTGATAACTCGGAAGTCGTATTTTTTTTTTTTTAGGAAATGTAATGGATATTTTGTAATTACATGAAACAAATTTAACAGTTTGTATTATTAACGTAGTTGCAGTCTAAACAAATAAGAATTTAGTATTTCTTCTGATATTAAGGGTACACGTAAAAATTAAAAACGATATACCACTTTGTTAAATCGTAGTCCTAGAATGATTAGGCATTGGTTAACGGGCTAAGGTTAAATAAAGGAATTCAGGGCGGAGAATGTTGTAGAAAATGAATTCTAATTCTTCCAAGATCAGTCAAGCACGAACAAGCAACAGATTTCTTTTGGTGTAGGTCATAATGTCACCGAGGAACACGAAGATAACGCACATGTAAGCTAAATACGGCATGCGATAAAAGTATTGCTTGCTTTAAGATTGGCGACGAAGTGCAAACATGACGTCTGAAGTATGGTGAGAACGAAGTGTGGTGATGCCAAGTACGAGCATCATGAACACTAGTTGCATTTGATAGAGGAACGAACAAACAAAAGCGATTGGATAACGAACGCAACTGAATGTGATTGCTACTCTGGTTGTGATTGGCAACGAGTACATTGCTGTGAATGGTTATTTAAGATAAAGATAACATATGACTGACACGGAAGAACGCAATAGAGGGCTTGATAACTCGTAAGTGTGACATTATCACTTCCCTTCTATCCTCTTGGGTTTAAAATCGAGGTAAGACATTTGACAAGCTAAGATTACAACGTTAGAGTAAAGTGGTCTTTCACAAGATTTACGAGCTATAGTGACTTATAATTTTTCTTTTCCTAAAAATGATTACATTTTGGTACAGTAATTAAGTGTATTCAGGCTTTGTCAGTCTGAATTTTGAGAGTCTTCAGAGCCGTTTAGGCATGAGCTACTTGAAACCGTTAAAGGTACAGATAATCATACAAAAAATGTTTAAATATGTTAGATAACGTTTTTGGTAAACGTTTTGCATACATGACTGCAGAGGAGAGAATTCTAACCAGGGTTAGAATTTATATCTATTAATTTAATAGAAATAACATGTACCTGTCCATACGGGGTCGTCCATAAATTACGTAACGCTGAAGAGGAGGGAGGGGGTGTGACGCAGCGTTCAATAGAGGTAGGGGGGGTCATAGTTTCGTGTTACGTAATGCTGATATTTATTTTTACAATAATTCAACATTTGCTGAAAAAATCTTTTTAATTAGTCTTATGCCAAATCATTACCATATTAACAAATTAAATTAAAAATATAATAAATTAAAGAAGGTATACTCTATAAATTGTTGCAATAAGTGAAAATATTTTTCATCAATGATATATTGACTGATTCTTTGGAGGGGGGTCTGCAAGCGTTACGTAATTATTTGAGGGGTAGTTGAAATGTGAGAGGGGGTATTCATAATACTCCAAATTTGCGTCACGTAATTTACGGACGACCCCTATGGGCTAACAAGGGGTGCCACAGAATGGCACAGACTTTCCCGTATTGTTTTTCTATTCCCATAGGTCTCTGCTATAGCCATTCACACTTGCAACACACTCTTTCCATCTGCCATCTATTGCCGCCCAAAGACAAAGAAAAAAGTTCTTAATTTTCCACATTTCTAATGGTAGAACGGAAATAATATTTAGACGTTTTTAAGGAAATGGCGTTTTAGCGCTACTGTAAATTCGAAATACGAACCTCTTTTCACAGAAAACTATTGAGTTTTCGAGAAAATTCATATGAAGTAATTTCAAGCACTTCCAGTAACAAATGCAATACTGTTTACAAATCGTTAGAAATATGCATATTAAAGAGTGAGAGACTTTTTAAAAAAAATTACATTTAATTTGTGAAAAGTAACAAATACAGCAAAATTAATTCTGTGTCACCTTAAACAGTGCAAATAGCACTAACTGTTGGAAACGATTGAAGAAAAAAATTGGTGCTGTATTTGAGTGTTTCTGAAAATGCGAAATTTTGAGCTAATTTTCGGGAATCTTACATTATTTACAGCACATGCACTCGTAAATAGTTGAATATAAACAAATTGCCACTAATGTAAATATTAACGACGTGAGGGACAAGTAAAAATAATACATTTTGCAATTTTTGAAAAAACAAAAGGTTAGAATAATATGACGTTTACGTCATCTTACAGAGTGCATTTAGTACTATCCCAATCAAAAATTTAAAGAAACAATTTGGAGCAGTTTTTGAGAAATTTAATTCTTGAAAATTGCAAATATTGCACCCAATATTGTTGGAAATAAATTTTCAAAACAATGTACTTCATGTCCTTCATGGAAGATCTAATTATGACAAACAAATTTTATACGAAGGAAAAATATCTATTTTCAATTTTGTTGTTGTAGGGGGGCGTGGAAAAAATCAAACTCTTGTAGTTTTCGAAAATTTATAGTTAACCGTTTGTATAAAAAATATTGTATATGTGAACCCGTCTCTTCACGCTCGTTTTCATGGAGTAAAGAAATCTGTAGGGTGTCACTTACAAATTGTAGGTACCTCTTAATATATCTTTAGTACAGTATTAAACATCTTAAGTGCCCCTTCGTAAAAGTCCATTTTAGTGAGCTCTGCATCTCAATACCTGTAATGGTAAGGGAGATAATCGAAGGGAACATGTTAATAAGCCAGCCTGGGATACAAAAGTGATCGCAACTAATGAATAAACATATGTAATTACATACAAATTCCAGTCCTGTGATCTAACAGTTCGGACAGAGTAACGATAAAAGATTAGGATTTGCATTTCATTGTAATACAATATATTATATTACAATCGTAATTGGTGTTACCATGAGTTAACTCATTAAAATAATTATTATAACAACTAATATATTCTAATGTAGATTCATTAAAAAAATGCCTTTCTGAAGGGAACAGATGGGGGTAGAGATTTAAACGGAACTTACGATATGTTACGTGGGGAAAGGGATATAAATTTTACTTAAAGAGCACACTTCGAAAGTGCAACAATTTTTCGAGAAGAGAAAGTAGGAATGTATTCATATTCAAGCGTAGGATTCCACGGTGTTGAGATACCGTCCAGCATGGGAGAATACAATATTAAACAATTAAATTATACAATATAATATTAATTAAAAAAATTAAACAATATTTGGAGGCAAGACGGAGACGCGTCTTAAGAGTGAAAGGATGCACGTCTTCCACTAAGGAAAGCGGGAAGGTTGCGGGTGGCGCACGTACGTTGTTGAGCAGCATGCGCACGCCCGACCGCTCGAGGGCGCGCGCGTCGAGCGAGCGGCTGCGGGGCTTCTGGTAGAGCACGTCGTCCTTGCGCCCGCCGCGCATCCAGCGGAAGTAGCTGGCCATGGCGGCGGCGGCGGCGCTGTGGAGCGGTGCGGCTGCTCCTGCGGCTCCGGGCGCTACCCGGAGGCGGCGGTGGGGGTGGCGGCGCGCGGCCTCATCCTCGTCGTCCCCCTCCGCCTCCAGCGCGCGGCGCTA